TTGTTAAAAACTTACCTGTTTTGGTAAACATTTTCAGGATAACCATAAGAATTATACAAAATGAAACTAACTATTATTAATAAATATGTTTATAAAATGCTGTATGGAAGAAGACTGAAACTAGAGACTGAGACCAGAAACTCATCAGGAAACTGTTTACTGAGCTCATAAATCAACTGAGAAGTCGGCTCATTTCTCCATAAGACTCAATGGTATCCGTGTGTAGCTCCCCCTGCTGGTCATTACGTAGAATGCAGTGGTTCAGACCTAAAATGTCCCTAAGAAAAAAGGTTCAGAAGCATCTGAACTAAAACTCTGCTTGTACATTATTCACAGAGCATAGCATGTTTTCACTTGTTAATAAAGCTTTAAATGAATCTTTTTTATACTGTAAATGTTTGCAATCTTTATTTTTTATAGGGTTATTTCTATTAATATAATTATTATTGTTATTATGTCCTTTTTCAAACTAAGGGCGTTAATTTATATATTTTTAGAAAGTGTTGTCGGTCGGTTAATGCTTTAAGTGTTTATAACGCATACGTGACGCCGGTGCAGCTCCAGTGACATGAATTTAATTAAATGAGAGAGAGAGAGAGTGGTAGAGAGAGGTCGACAGACAGCGGTGGAAAGAGCGAGAGAGAGAGAGAGAGCATCAGTGTTGTTTGTGCAGAGACCAGAGAAGAGAGGAGCTCTTCAGCGAACAACCAGCGGCTTGTGTTTCAGGTAGGAGCAGCTTTATTCTGCGTGATATCGGTGATTATTGATGATTATTGATGATTATTGATACATGTATGTTTGTGTGTGGTGATATTGGTGTGAGGATGAATATGATGCTGAGACAGAGGAATGGAGAGAGAGAGAGAGAGAGAGAGAGAGGGGCTGTTCAAAACCAAACCTCTGATAATAACCCGGCCGTTCCCTCCTCTGGCAGACAGCTGGAGACGTTTTTAAACCGATATTGTTTGTTTTTAATGTTTATTTCGGTTTAATCTTCATATTCGTGAGTTTTTCTGCATCTGCGCGATTTCATTGTTTGTCGGTGGGGCGTTTTTCTCTCTCCCCCCAATCCGACCCTACACTACGCACATTGGCACAAACCTCCACCCGGACCTCAGTCTGCGTCTATCTCGTGTTTTTTGTGTTTCTTTACATCCCTAACGTCTCCGGGGGGTCTGAGCTGGAGCTGTGCGGGACGCTGGTTGCGCCATTTCTGCGTGTTTGTGCGGTATTTTGTGTCTCAGGCTCCGTTTGTGGTAAAATGGAGGCTGGATGGAGGAGGAGGATGCTGCCATGGCCTCCCTCCCTCCTCTTCCTCCTCCTTCCTCCTCTCACAACCTGCTCATCACATGGTCCTCACACACTCTGCAAACCAGACCAGATCTATGGAAGTCCACTAACATGGTTCTCTACATTATTATAATCAGAAACCTGTTTTTTATTATTTATTTTGTGACGCTAAATCAGAACCAGTACAGGTCATTATTGATTATCTATCAGCCTACAGTGCTCCACAAACACTGTCTCACTCCACTGATGCTAAGACTAATAAAAGGTTTTATTTATAATAACAATGATAATGTTTAATATTGAGAAATATATGGACGTCCAAACTGCTGATTTAAAGCTCCAGAGTGAAACACTGAGGAGGATTTATTGGAAGAAATATAATATTAATAGGTGTGTTTTCATTACTGTTTAATCACCTGAACAATATCTGTCAGATTAATCTCAATATAATGATTTCTTCTCCAGTGTGTGAACTATACGGTGGCTTTTGAGGGACCTCACTTGTTTTATTATTGTTTTTTTTTTTATCATAGCTGCAACCACGTAGGGCTAATAATCAGCTAATTACACCGACGTACGTATCAATAAGGCCTAATTTTACACATAATCCATGATTATAAAGATACAGAAATAGCATATTGTCAATAATATTTCACAGATTGAGTGTTTTTAGGGGAGCTGATGTCTTTTTAAGAGGCTCCTCTGTAGTCCACCATGTTTCAAACTCCAGCACGTTCTCAGGTTGTCGAATACCGACTCTGGTTTGTCCACAATGTCCCCTTTAGTCCACCGAGGGTCTCTAACTCAGATTGTCCAGTACTATAAGGTTTGTTTAGGGTCAGGAGGGCCTTTAACTGGTTGGACTCAGACCTCCCATCATGCCCTCCACCTGAAACAGTCAGACATCAGTGTTGTTGTGAGCTTCGGGTCTGGCTGCAGCGGTGAAGTTCATCCTCCGTATCTGTGCATCCACGCTGACTCATACGGTCGTGTTGCGTAACCTCCGTCGTGGCCTCAGCTGAGTCCTGTTTCAGGACCACCGATTACATAAACCTGACGGACTCAGAGACGGTTAATTACTTTAAATTAAATCCACCAAATGTCACAGCAGGACGTGTTTGTAGTGACAGACAGAGGAAGAACAACAACCTGAAAAACAGACATTTAAACTGAGTTTGAGTTCAATTTGACTTTAATCAACCTGTTTTTATACAAATCAGAATATATACCAGGGTTCCCACACATCCTGGAAATTGATTAAGGGCCATTTGGTGCCTTTTACACTACATGCATTATTTGTATAATACATTATATTATTGATCTAATTGCAATTTAAAGTTACATCCTGTGAAACCTTCATAAAAAAAAACTGGATTTCAGCCTGTTTTCACTCTCTAACACTGTGAAATGATTATAATCCTTCACAAATCAAAAGTTTTTATTCATTATTGTGTGAATCTTATTTACAATTTAAACATAAAATACACATTTTAGTCCCCAGGTGTCCTGTTACTGACGCATTCCGCCTCCAAACATTTTAATAAGTCACATATTCAATAAGAATTAGCTTCAGATCAAAACTTCTCTCTCTGTTTTCTGTATTTTTGGTCAGATTGTGTTGTAGCTGGAGAATCCACAGAAAATAGGAGTCAAATGTACGACTACAGACAGGATGTAGGTATGAAAAATTAAAGTCTTCAACTTGCCGGCACAATGATACGATGCACCAAAGTCCAGTAAGAACAGAAAACAACACAGAAAGTAACAGACGACAGAGCGAAAGTAACGCAGGTAATATTAACTCTGATATTACAAAATAAAAACAGGAAATAATCACAGAAAACCCCCAAAAGTTTGACTTTAACTCCTGTTACATGAATTATTTCTTAGATGTTATTATATATATTTATTTTAAGATTCTACTTGATTTAAGCTGTTAATTATGAGCCAAATTAATCAGAATCAGTTTTTCCTTACAGTTGCTCAAATTAAAGAAATAGAAATAATAATAGTAAGAATGTTAAAAATATGCATTATATTACAATATCTAACAACAATATCTATTTAATAGAAACATATGATGAGAGTTTGAAGTATGTACATTATAATACAATATATAGAAGATAGAGATAAGACATGGGAACAGGGGAACTACAGTAAAAGACAGAAATGTAATCAAATCTAATAAATAATAATAATGAGCATTAATAATGTTAACAACAGTAATGATTCATCATTTGTCTGCACTTTATATGGTCGTTAGTGAGCGAATGTTGTCCTGAATTGTTAAGAAAAAAACTGGAAAATGGAAAATGATTTCTGATGCAACTGATAGCAACCGTTAGCACGTAGCTGCTGCAGACAGCTGCTGTTTGTGAGAATAAAACTGTCATGTGTCGGCAGATATCAGCAGGTAAAGACGATGTAAGAGGCACACAGTGAGGATGTTTTACTTCAGAGTTTGAGTTAAAAACTTTAACATTTATCAGAAGAATTTAAATCTATCCGTATATCTTCCTCCCATCTCGGATGTCTGACGAAGGAGGAGGAAGATGGATGGATGGATGATGGATGGAGCGGCTGTTGGATGGATTTCAACGTCCATTTGCTAAAGTGGAGAGTAGATTTAATCCAGTCGGGTCCTGTTGACAGCTAATGACGGACAGGCAGCAGTAGCATTAGCCTTTTTAGCTCCTGCCATTATCAGTGGGTCAATTAGCTTGTTTTCTCTCTCTCTCTCTC